CTTACAGTAACACAAACTGAGACATAATGTATGAACAGACCCATAACAAGAGATGAGACTGAAGAGGTAATAAAAAATTCCCAACAAAAAAAAGCTCTTACCTGAACGGCTTCACTAGAGAATTCTATTAAACATTCAGAGAGAAGCTCATGCCAGTACTACTCAAACAATTTCACAGCATAGAAATGGAATACATTCTATGAAGCCAGCATAACCCTGATACAAAAGCCAGGCAAACACACCACAAAAAAAGAAAATTACAGACCAATATCTCTCATGAATATAGATGCAAAAATTCTCAACAAAATTCTAGCCAACAGAATTCAGCATCACATCAAAAAAAATAATACACCATAACCAAGTGGGATTCTTGCCAGGTATACAAAAATGGTTTAACATTAGAAAATCAATCAATGTAATCAACCACATAAATAGAACAAAAGAAAAGAATCACATGATCATCTCAATCAATGCAAAATAGGCATTCGATAAAGTCCAACACCCGTTCCTGATAAAAACTTTCACTATAATAGGAATAGAAGGGAAATTCCTCAACATATTAAAGGGTATCTATACAAAACCAACAGCCACATCATTCTCAATGGAGAGAGGCTGAAAGCACTCCCCCTGAGAACACAAACAAGACAAGGATGCCCTTTATCACCACTCCTGTTTAACACTGTGCTGGAAGTCCTAGCTGGAGCAATAAGGCAAGAAAAAGAAAGAAAGCACATCCAAGTTGGAAAGGTAGAAGTAAAACTATCTCTATTTGCGGATGATATGATCCGATACACAGAGAACCCCAAAGATTCCACAAGAAAACTACTGGAACTGATAGAAAGATTCAGCAGAGTAGCAAGATACAAGATCAACATACAAAAATCAGTTGGATTCCTATACACCAACAATGAGAACTTCCAAAAAGAAATCAGGAAAACAATACCATTTACAATAGTGCCTAAAACGATAAAGTACTTAGGAATAAATCTAAGAAGGGACGTAAAAGATCTATAGAAAGGAAACTAAAAAACACTATTGCAAGAAACCAAAAGAGATCTATATAAGTGGAAAAACCTACCATGCTCATGGATAGGAAGCCTTAACATTGTGAAAATGTCAATTCTACCCAAAGCGATCTACAGATGTAATGCAATCCCCATCCAAATACCAACAGCATTCTTTAATGAGATGGAAAAACTCATCACCAATTTTACATGGAAAGGAAAGAGGCTTCAGATAAGCACTGCATTATCGAAGAACAGAACAAAGTAGGAGGCCTCACACCACCTGATCTCAAAACCTACCATATAGCCACGGTAGTCAAAACAGCCTGGTACTGGTACAACAAAAGACACATAGACTAATAGAACAGAATCGAGAACCCAGATGTAAATCTATCCATCCACCTGTGGTTAGCTGATCTTTGACAAAGGACCAAAGTCCCTTAAATGGGGAAGGCAGTCTTTTTAACAAATGGCGCCAGCAAAACTGAATATTCATCTGTAAAAAAATTAAACAGGACCCAAACTTCACACCATATACAAAAGCTAACTCAAAATGGATCAAAGACCTAAAGATAAAACCTAAAAAATAGGGACAACACTAGAGTCCCTAATACAAGGCATAAATACAATACAAACCATAACTAACAATGCACAAACACCAGAAGATTAAACAAAATAACTGGGAGCTCCTAAAAATTAAACACTTAAACACTCATCAAAAGACTTCACCAAACGAGTAGAAAAAGAATCTACAGACTGGGAATAAATTTTTGGCTATGACATATCCAATAAGGGTCTAATCTCTAAAATCCACAAAATATTTCAACACCTCAACAACAAAAAGACAACCCAATGAAAAAATGGTCAAAGAATATGAACAGACATTTCACCAAAGAAGACATTCAGGAAGCTAACACACATCAGGAAATGTTCACGATCATTAGCCATTAGAGAAATGTAAATCAAAACTACAATGAGATACTACCTTACCCCGTCATTACTGGCACTAATAAAAAGAAAAAAAAAACAGAAAATAACAAATGTTGGAGAGGTTGCAGGGAGATTGGAACTCTTATGCATTTCTGGTGGGACTGTAAAATGATACAACCACTGTGGAAAACAATATGACGCCTCCTTAAAAAGCTAGAACTAGAAACACCATATGATCCAACAATACCATTCCTAGGAATACATCCTAAAGAAATAAGCCATCACATGAATAGACATGCACACCCATGGTCATTGCAGATTATTCATAATAGCAAAAAGATGGAAACAACCTAAGTGCCCCTCAGTAGATGAATGGATAAATTATGGTACGTACACACAACAGAATACTGTACGATGATAAAGAACAATGATGAATCCACGAAGCATCTCACAACGTGGATGAATCTGCAGGGCGTTATGCTGAGTGAAATAAGAATTAACTGGTCTGACAGAGACTGGAGGAACCCCCAAGACAGTGGTCCCTGGACACCCTGCTAACTCAGAACTGAAGCCACTCCCAAAGTCTACCTTTCAGCCAAAGATTAGATAGGCCTATAAAACAAACAATAACACACGTGAGGAATGTTCTTCTGAGTTCAATCAAGTCTATGAGACCAAATGGGCAACACCTGCCCAAAAGGAACAACGAGAAGGCAGGAAGGAACAGGAAACCTGGATGAATGGACACAGGGAACCCAGGTGAAGAGGGAAGGGGAAGAGTGGTGACATATTGAGGGGACTGCAACCAATGTCACAAAATAATTTGTGTATAAATTTTTGAATGAGGAAAAAGAAAAGTTAAACATAGAGGAAAAAAAGAAAAAAAAGATGTGTATCTCACGCTAGAGCAGAGGTTGCTCTCTGCTGTGAGGCAGTAACAGTAACCTGTTCAAATGGTCATTTTCGAGAATTATAAGGGAGCTATTAGTCATTTCTGACCACATTAATTTAACTCCTGGACACACTGCTAGTTTGAACAAAGAGTGCGTTCCTGAGTCCCAAGACTTTTTTTTTTTTACTTTCTTCACACTTAAATGCTTTAACTTCAAAAGCCTGTACCTGCAAAGATTTTAACTACTTAAATGTTTAACTATTTAAATGTGTGGCTCAACTACTGCACCACTTCAAACAACCACATTCTTACTGTTTTTTTGGTATGACTAAAATCCTTTGCATGTCCATTAACTTTTACTTGGTGCAACGGTTTTTACATAAAGAATTGGCAGTCTTCAAACACAGGAGAAACTCTTGTCACATTTCCAAAGGGATTACAGAGCAAATGCTACTGTTCAAGGTACTGCGCAATGTTCTGTAGCTCCTCATCTGCACGGTCCAAAGGAAAATCTGACAACTGTCTCGTTCCGGTAAGTAGTAGGGAGTCCCTGGGCTGTGCAAATGGTTAATGCACTTGGCTGCTAACTGAAAGGGTAAAGGTTCAAATCCATCCAGAGACACCTTGGAAGAAAGGCCTGGTGATATATTTCTGATAATCAGCCGCTGAAACCCTCATGAAGCACAGTTCTACTCTGAACACATGAGGTGGCCATGAGTTGGAGCTGACTGGTTAAACAGTAAACACTCCAAGGTGACCTTTCTGACTCGAGTAATGTGGCTTGGCTGTATGTCTGACGTCTGCCGAATTTTTACTGCATAGTCTTGGTGTTTAATACCCAAACAAACAAAAACTGTGAAACTTTACCTGTGATTCAAGGGACCACACTCAGCAACTCTAAAGACAATGGCCCGTAATTCACTATCAACTGTCTCCTTTCAGGTAGTCAAATGTGAAAACTGAGGAGGCAGATGCTTTCCAGAAAAAAAAAAAAAAGTCCTATACTCTGAAAGTGATTTACTTGTTACTTCAGGAATGCCTCAGTTTGTAAAGTATTTATCAAGTAGCGCCAGCGGTTGTTATGTTACCAGCTGCCATTGAGTTGCCCCCGACTCATAGTGACCCTGTGTACATTGCCCAGTCCGGCACCATTCCCATGATTGGTTGTGGACTGGACCACTGTGCTCCATAGGGTTTTCATTGGCTGATTTTTAGATGTAGTTTGCCAGGCCTTTCTTCCTAGTCTTAGTCTGGAAGCTCCGCTGAAACTTGTCCAGCATCATAGCAACACACAAGCCTCCCCAATAGGTGCGTGGTGGTTGCACATAAGGTGCACTGGCTGGGAATCGAACTGGGGTCTGCCACAGGGAAGGTGAGAATTCCACCACTGAACCACTACTGCCTCATAAGGCCGGGGGTAGGGCGTTTTTAAATTTACATGCTGAATTTTGAAATCCAGAGTATAATTAGTTATCTCTAAAAAGTTTGGGACAACCACTGGAAGGATGGGAGGAGAAAAGCGTCTGGTAATAGAGCCAACACACTAACCATGGAAGGGACAGTCTACCAAGTGTCCATTTCCTTAAAATGTACTGCACTCACCCCTTCCCACACCTAATGAAATCAGATGCTCCACAGGTACCACTCATCCCTTACAAGGTTTACGAAGAAATCATTTTTAATGTGATCCCAGAATTTTAACAACCTACTGCAAAGCAGCTGCTCAAATGCAGGCTAGAAGGTGGGGCAGGGCGCTAAGAGGGAAAAAGAGAACAGATACCTTCTCTACTGAACGTCAATATAGTTTACAGTTTTCAAATAGACGAGTTCCCTTCTGTTCCTTTGAGGGAGTTAAGGGTACGTTGCTAAAAACGCACTAAGTGTCAGGGAGCAGATTCAGAAACTTCAACAAACAAGTTCCACCGCCTGCAAGCCCATGAGAAATCCCCAGAAGCCAGGGGAGTGGCTCCCCTGCGGCATGAGGCCCTGACAGCCACCTGAGAAGAACTTCTTTTGTTTAGACGGAGTGGGGACGGCCTGTCTAAGAGTCCGACAAAGGGTCATTCATCTTCTCTCCTTTTTCAAGGTTTCTGGCAGAGCCAACTGACTTGTTTCTCTGTCCTCAAAAACAGACAGGGCAACAGACAGACAGACAGACAGTGCCCACAAAGTACCTGCAGAAGGATCTTGTTCCCGTCGTGGTCCTCCGTCTGCCACCGGCCCTCACTGATGGGGCTGCAGGGGTTCGGCAGGAGAGGCACGAGCTCGCCGATGTCCTTGACGCGAAACTCCAGCACTGAGGAGTCGGTGGGGACTGGGGTCTGGTCACAGGGCAGCCTTTTCAGGGAGAACTGGATGTCCACATCCAGATTGGAGAAGATGGGGAAGATGCAGAAGTCCGTCTTCCTCTGGCTGGGGCTCCGCTTGAGAATCAGCTCGTAGAACTTGAGGATGTCGGCGTAGTTCTGGTGACGGCAGTAGACGGTGAAGCGGACGATCTCCTTGCCGTAGTGCACGGGCCGGACGGCCCACAGCGGGGTCCCGGGGGCCAGCGTGAAGAAGTCCTGGCTGCAGGGCAGGTAGGGCAGGAACCTGCCGTGCACGCGCTCCGCGTGGTGGAAGTGCCAGGGCGGCCGCTGCAGCGTTCGGTGCAGCTGCAGGATCTGCTCTTCGCCGTATTCCTCCTGCAGGAACAGGACCACCGCCAGCGCCGGCTGCGCAGCCTTGGTGGTCTTCTTCCGCCTCCGCGACGCTCTCCTCTCAGAGACGCGGAACAGCTGGAGGTCTGGGTGGATCCAAGCCAAGACCTTGTCGATGGCCTCCTGCAGGTGTTGGGATTCTCCTGGGTCTGCAATTATGTGGATGCTAACTAGGAAAGGGTCCTGTGCCTCTTCCACAGACAGATCACCTGGGAGCAAAAAAGAAACCGTGACATGAAGGTGTCTAATAGTGAGTGGCACGGCCGCCTCGGTAGGAAGCACGCTGACTTCTCACTGAGCTGGCTCCATAATCATTATGGGTTTCTGACCCCAAGTAAAAATGACTATAGCTCTCTCTAGCAGGGAAGGACTAAATAACTATTGCTACAAACAGGGCCCAAGCTGGACGGTGTTAAGAAAACCTTAGTCCAATGGAACGAAATTGAGAATCCAGACATAAATTCATCCACCTATGAGCCGCCGATATTAGACAAAGGCCCAAAGTCCATTAACCGGGGAAAAGGCAGTTTCTTTAACAAATGGTGCTGGCATAACTGGATATCCATCTGAAAAACGTGAAACAAGACCCATACCTCACACCATGAACAAAAACTAACTCAAAATGGATCAAAGACTTAAATATAAAATCGAAAACGATAAAGATCATGGAAGAAAAAATAGGGACAACACTAGGAGCCCTAATACATGGCATAAACACAATATGAACCATAAGTAACAATGCACAAGCACTAGAAGAGAGACTAGATAACTGGGAGCTTCTAAAAATCAAACACACTCATCAAAAGACTTCACCAAAAGAGTAAAAAGACAACATAAACAGACTGGGAAAAAACTTTTGGCTCCGACAAATCCAATCAGTGTCTAATCTCTAAAATCTACAAGATACTGCAAAACCTCAACAACAAAAAGACAAATAACCCAATTAAAAAATGGGCAAAGGATATGAACAGGCACTTCACCAAAGAAGATATTCAGGCGGCAAACAGACACATGAAGAAATGCTCACGATCATTAGCCATTAGAGAAATGTAGATCAAAACTCCAATGAGATATCATCTCACCTCAACAAAGCTAGCATTAATCCAAAAAACACAAAATAATAAATGCTGGAGAGGTTGTGGAGAGACTGGAACACATATACACTGTTGGTGGGAATGTAAAATGGTACAACCACTTTGGAAATCAATTTGGCGCTTCCCTAAAAAGCTAGAAATAGAAGTACCATACGATCCAGCTATCCTACTCCTTGGAATATATCCTAGAGAAATAAGAGCTGTCACACGAATAGATATATGCACACCCATGTTCATTGCAACACTGTTCACAATAGCAAAAAGATGGAAATAACCTAGGTGCCCCTCAACGGACAAATGGATAAATTATGCTATATCCACACAATGCAATACTACGCAATGATAAAGAACAATGATGAAGCCATGAAACATAATATGGAGTAATCTTGAGGGCATTATGCTGAGTGAATTTAGTCAGTCACAGAAGGACACATATTGTATAAGACCACTATTATAAGAACTCAAGAAAAGGTTTAAACACGGAAGAAAACATTCTTTGATGGTTACGAGGGTGGGGAGGAAGGATGAGAGTTACTCACTAACGAGATAGTAGACAAGAATTACCTTAGGTGAAGGGAAAGACAGCACACAATACAGGAGAACTCAGCACAACTGGACTGAACCAAAGCTAAGAAGTTTCCTGAATACAATCAAACACTCTGAGGGACAGAGTAGCAGGGGTAGGGATCTGGGGACCATGCTTTCAGGAGACATCTAGGTCAACTGGCGTAACAAAGCTTATTAAGAAAATGTTCCACATCCTACTTTGGTGAGTGGCGTCTGGGGTCTTAAAAGCTTGCAAGCAGCCATCTAAGATGGATCAATTGGTCCCAACCACCTGGAGTAGAGGAGCATGAAGAACATCAAAGACACAAGGAAATTATTAGCCCAAGAGACAGAAAGGGCCACAGAAATCAGAGACTTCATCAGCCTGAGACCAGAAGAACTAGATGGTGCCTGGCTACCACCAGCGACCGCCCTGACAGGGAACACCACAGAGAGTCCCTGATGGAGCAGGAGAAAAATGGGGTGCAGAACTCAAATTCTAGTAAGAAGACCAGACTTAATGGTCTGAGACTGGAGGAACCCTGGAAGGCATGGCCCCTGGATTCTCTATCAGTCCAGAAATAAAACAATTTCCGAGGTCAACTCTTCAGACAGGGATTGGACTGGACTGTGGGACATAAAGTGATACTTGTGAGGAGTGTCCCTCTTAGCTTAAGTAGATACAAGAGACTAAATGGGCAGCTTCTGTCCAGAGTGAGATGGGAAGGCAGAGAGGGTTAGGAGCTGGTTGAATGGACATGGGGAATCAGGGGTAGAAAGGAGGAGTGTGCTGTCATAGTAGGGGGACAGCAATTAGGGTCACATAACAATGTGTGTATACGTTTTTGTACCGGAGACTAACCTGAAATGTAAACTTCATCTAAACTGCAACAATAAAAAAAAAAAATTCAGCACAGGGCAGAAAAAAAGAAAACGCTCGTCCTGTATTTCATTGGTCTGAGTATATTTTAGGCAACAGAAAGTCAAGTCTCTACTGATATGGAAGTAATGACGGGCTGTTAGGGTAGGGGCTGTGGCCTCGAATGCACACCATTTACATTTCCTGAAGCAAATACTGTGCCTTAGAGCAGAGCTTCCAGACTAAGACAGACTAGGGAGAAAGGCCTGGTGATCTACTTCTGAAAATTAGCGAGCGAAAACCCTGTGGATTTCAAGGGTCCGATATGCAACGGACCATGGGGATGGGGCAGGACTGGCAGTGCTTTGTTCTACTGTCACAGAGTCGCCATGAGCCGGGCCTTCTCCACGGTAGGGAACTACAACACAACCCCTGCAACTGTTTCCTAGACCACCGCACTCTTCAGGCTTGTTCACCTCACTGGTTTATTTTGTTCATTCATTTAACAAGTACTTATGGGATCCTTCCTACATAGGGACGCTGTGTTAGGCAGTGGGCATACAGTGGGGAACGACGAGAATATGCTTGCCCTTGCGGAGCATACTCCATTCGCACAGGAGGCCTGGCGAGTGACGCATCCTGTCAGCAGTGCCCCAAGGGGTGGAGAGACAGGAAAGAACAACCTGGGGCCAGTGCATGCTCCTGCTGGCAGAGCTGACCTCACTGAGGCTGTGGCTGGGGTAGGGGAGGGTGTCATGAGGCCATCACTGCCCAACTTTTGCTGTCTTTTGAGCCTCTCCTTGGGTCACATCCACCCAGAAGCCCACATATCCTGACTGGGTCAGTTACTCTCCTTATGTCCCCTGGCAGAAAGAACCCTGGGGAGCATCAAATTCCCAGTCAAGCTGTTTTACTTGCAACACTCACCTGGAGCGAAACAGTGTGCTGGCTACACAGGCGTATATCAAACTCAGGTAACTGTACCTGATAAAAGGCTTGCTCTTCTAAAAGATGGGTCTGTTTACATTTATATAAGTTTCATGACTAATCTAAGGGCAATCAAGAAATCTTTATGTCAGTTGTGATTCTGGGGGCTAGATTCAGAATGGACCTGCCTTCACACACATGCCTAACAATACCCAGAGGGTGTTAGGAATAGGGTGATCATATGGTCAGTTCCATTTGAGAAGTGTGATGTGCTTTTCGGAACCATAACCTCAATCGGTCCACAGGCTGACAGGCAATTTTTGTTGTAGGTAAACATGACCCTCCAAGTGGGATGACGTGTTCATGTCACCATGTGCACCTGCAATAACATGGTTTTAATTTTGTTGGCTCAGACCCTGTTTTCATTTTCATCCCAACTGTATTGTACATCTCACTTGTGAAGTTAGCTCAGTTTGTTGTTGCCTTCTCTCTCTCTATTTTTCATTCATACACACATTTCTTGAGCAATCAATATGTACCAGTCACTGGGAATACAAGGAACCTGGTACCACCTGTACTCTGAGAATATGCTTACACAGACTCTCCTGTGAACAGTGTTCAGTCTGTCCAACCCCAGGCAGCAGCCCTCTAAGAACCATAAGCCACAGAGGAGAGCTTCATGATTTAGTCAGGAAACACAGACATAAAAATTAAAATTCAATTTGATATATGTCTATGCAAAATACAAGACTTGCATCTTAGGCAGCATTTAGATTGTAATGTCCCCATGAGGTAAAAATTACATGTAGACAATATTATCACTGAAAGTCCCTTGGATTTCCAATAAAGTGCCAGTGGTACTGACTTACAACAAGGCAACACAGCCAGACAGCTGTTTCTTGTTGAACACCAGATGAGATACCTAGCTTGCTGTAATAGTTTTGTATCTTTAAACACTAGAGCCCCACTCAACAGGCCAACACTTTTACCCTACAAGAGGCTTTCAGGAGCTCAAGAGGCCTTTGGAACCAAGGATGATGAAGTAACAGCTGAGTCATATCTCAGTTCTCCCACGATTACTGAGTGGAATGGTGGGTGGAATTATTTCAACTGTCTTCCCTCACTCTTCCTTTCTCTCTGGCTGAGCACGTACCCCCAGCCCCAAATCTGTGAAAGTTAAATATGAGCACATCGCTATTTCAATTTGCTACCAGACAATAAAGGAAAGAGTATCTCTTTCTCTCTAGAGCTTCTGAGAAGGCTTCCTGGAGGAAGCAGAATGTGAATGGGTCTGGAAGGGCAAACAACAACTCAATTATAACCTCAACTGTGGGCGGATCACTGCAGAGACAGAAGCTGTTATGTAGGGGGCTTCAGCTTAATTCAGTACGTGATAATGGACAATGGGAGGTTTCAATAAAGGGATGACAGGATTAAGTCAGGAGGATGTTAGACTATAGGCATAGTAAGGAGTTAGAAGACTACTGAAAAGTCCAGACAAGAGAAGACAAGGACTTGGGTTTTGGTGGTGTAGTAGTCTGCATTATTGGCCCTTCATCCCAGCCTGTATCCTTGCTCTCTGCCATGTGACTTCGCAGTTTCTCCACTAAGCTGGATTAGACCATGAATGAGACATAGGAGTGAGCCCAGCAAACACAGTCACCCAGCTGAGCCTGGTCTAGACCAGTAGACCCAAGACATACAGGAAATAATGATTGCTATTGCAAACTACTGAGTTTGGGGGTGGTTGTTACACAGCATATTTACAGACGCAGACAGGGCC